AATGCCGAGGGAAAAATAGAAAATAAAAATACTTTTGTTTAGCTTGATTTGCTGGGCCACTCTTTCATTTGTATACTTCTTTATGAGCAATTGCATTTACATTTTACATCTATAGCACATTACTCATGCTCGCTGGCGCGGGAAAAAGGCAGAACGATGGCTGGAATTTGATGCAGATTTCAGGTTTTTTTGTTTTTTTAAATGAATTTGGGAGATGGAAGGGCATACGACCGAAGCCAACACAACGAAATTAGAAGACTGAAGGACAAAAGAATTAATATAAATTTTAATTTTATTATTATTATTTTAATTAATTTTATCATCAATATGAGAAATTATTTAAACTATAAATAAGCAAGGGATTGAGATGAAAGTGAGCCACCATTCATGCCTAACATATAATCTTGGATTTCCCATAAATAAGAAAGTCATCTCCTACCTGTATAGCAGATGATCAACACGGTCTTGTTTCGTGTTGTAATACAGAAGAAAGTCGTCTCCGTCATGTGTAGCAAGCGATCAACGAGATATTCTTTCGTGATGTTGTGAAGGAGAAAGTCGTCCCCGTCCTGCATAGTAGGCGATCAACGAGATCCTCTTTCGCGCCGCCGAGATGAAGAAAGTTATCTCTGTCCCTGCCCTACAGGTGACTTAGGATTTTCTTGTTTATTGTTGTTGCGCATCTCAGTGGAGAGGAAGAAATTCTGGAGTTTTCTCGTTGCACTTTGAAGGGGAGATTTTCATGCTTCTATGATGGAGATATCCGGAGAACCTCTTGAAGATCAACAAAAGTACTGAAATTTTGTGGAGGTGATGTCGAATCCATTTGAAGATGAGCTGGTTTAATGTAGCCCTTGTACAAGTACATGTTGGTCTTTGTAGTTTTTCAATTGTCTGATGTGGCATTTGTACACGGTGATGATGTGTTTGTCTGCACATTTTTCTTTAGCTCGATGCAATAAAAATGAGCATTATTTTTGAGTTTCTTGTCTTTTCTTCTGAGTCGAAGTTGCCCTTTCTGAGATGCTTTTGCCTCACTTCTGGGTATTGTTACCCAACTTTTGTGTTGCATATTAATATCGATCATTTCTGAGGTTTATGCCTTATAAGGTTTTCATGGCTTCTCAAACATGCAAAAATATGCCATTAAAGTTAACACGTGCATTTTATATATAAAAGGAATCACTTGCTTTCTTAGACTCGTGCCTTCTGAGGTTTATATCCTCTTAAGCGTGTATCTTTTGTGGCTTGTGCTTTCTCAGGCTTATGCCTTCTGGGAGCTTGAAATGTGGCGAGGATTTATGAGGCTCTTAGACTTCTGAGGTCATTGATGTACTTGTGCCTTCTGAAGTCTTTGTTGTACCCGTGTCCCTTGAGGCTTGTAGCCTTCTGAGATCTTTGATATACCTGGGCCTCTTGAGGCTTGTAGCTTTTTAAGATCTTTGAGCGGAGGCCCTATCAATGACTTGCTCTCGTGGAGTTTTTTTAGTGAGGATCTTGTCCTTTACTAGCTTTCCATTGTGAATTGCCTCTTGAACTCATCTTACGGGGGCTTGGTAGCTTCTCATCGAGTTTTGCCTCTTGGGCTCGACTTTCAGGAATATCATATTTTCTCATAAAATCTTGCATATTGAGCTCTACTTCCAAGAGCATGGTAGTTCCTATCGAGTCTTCCTCTTAGACTTGAGTTTTAGGAGTACCATAACTTTTCATAGTGTTTTATCTCTTAGGCTCGACTTCTAAAGACATGGTTGGAGACCTTGTCTGTCACTACAAATGCTTGACTTTTCCTAGCCTATTAGTCGAATCATATTTGTCAAACGGCTGTAGCCTGTGTTGGAGCTAAGTTGAAAGAAGAATTCATTAAGGATGTAAGAACTGTCCTGGGTTGTATAGCCATAGGAGCTTGACAACATTAACCCGTTATGGACAAAGTTATATGAAGGCCATTGAGGATGGTTGACCTATTATAGGTTGTTGATCGAAGCTTTTGCTTGACGGCCGTAACCTAATATGGAAGAGGTCGATGGAAATCCACCAAGGATTTTTGACCTATCTGAGGTTGTCAGTCGAAGCTTCTACTTGACGATTATAGTCTATGATGGAAGATGTCGAATCAAGTTCCCTTGAGATTGATTAAGCCTAGAATGAGGTATAAGAGAGGCTCTGTGTCTCAAGATTGGGGCGCAGGTCGCAATGAACCGTATGTTTTCTTGGAAATATGATTACAGTCATACTCAATAAAAATATTTGACAACTTGTTATTTTCTATTTTTTAATCTTTTGACCCTTAGCAAGGGCGTTTTCCATACAAACTTATAAATTTGCCCGTGTATTGAGCCTTGAATAGATCAACTGCTTGATCTGGTTAAAGAGAAACTCTAGTATGGTGAAGGGGCATTAAGGAGGCGTTATTGGTGATGAAAATTGTCCTCAATCTATGAGCAGTTTTCAATGTTATATGAATGAAATATGGGATGACTAACCTATCATAGTCGTGCCTGGGGTGTTAACATGAACCACCTTTTGAGACAACTGTGAAGGTTGCCCCCAGCCCGGAAGAAGTCATGTCTAAATAGGATGCGAACAGACAACCTCACTACAGTTGTGTCAGAGATGTTGACGTGAACGATTTTTCAAGAATGTAGTGAATGTCTTCCCCCCACATTAAATAATGCTCAAGATATGATCTTCAAGATGCAAAAGAGGTTCTTTCGTTAGTTAGATGACGTACATCATTAGGAAATGAAGTAGGAGATCGACATCTCAGATTTGAAGACATTATCAAACAGTGCTTCATTTCCCACAAACAATGTCAAACCGATGTGTGCTAGAAATTTGAAACATTAGAGTAACATATTTCATCTTAGCGTTGTGTGAAAATTCAACACACACTCAGATGAAGGAAATCAAACACTCGAGACACCATAAATTTTGTCGTGGACAACCCAGTAAGAGAAATAACCACTGCGTCCGACCCAATTGTAAAAATCTAATATAAGTTGATGATTATAGAGACCCCATGTCCTAGAGTCAGGAAAGATTTACAAAGTTCCGAATTACAATGTCAATGCACAAACGTTCTCTTCGCAAAGAGGAGGCTGATGATTGACGAGGGTCTACAAGTGGTGATTAATGGTGGTCGGTAGTGGTCTACTATGGTCGATGGTAGCAGAAGTAATGTTGGACTAACCTATCATAGTTGTGCTTAGGGTGTTAACATGAACCATCTTTTGAGATAGCAGTGAAGATTGTCCCCAACCCGGAAGAAGTCCTGTCTGAATAAGATGCGAACAGACAACTCCACTACAATCGTGTCAGAGATGTTAGCGTGAACGATCTTTCGAGAAAGTAGTGAATGTCTTCCCCACACATTAAATAATGCTCAAGCTATGATCTTCAAGACGCAAAAGAGGTTCCTTCGTTAGTTAGATGACATACATCATTGGGAAATGAAGTAGGGGATCAACATCTCATATTTGAAGACATTGCAAAATAGTGCTTCATTTCCCACAAACAATGTCAAACTGATGTGTGCTAGAAATTCGAAACATTAGTGTAACAGATTTCATCTTAGCGTTGTGCGAAATCTCAACACACACTCAAATGAAGGAAATCAAACACTTGAGACACCATAAATTTTGTCGTGGACAACCCACTAAGAGAAATAACCACTGCGTTTGACCTAGTTGTAAAAATCTACTATAAGTTGATGATTATAGAGATCCCATGTCCTAGAGTCAGGAAAGATTTACAAAGTTTTCCGAATTACAATGTCAATGCACAAACGTTCTCTTCGCAAAGAGGAGGTGACGAACGATGATGATCAACGAGGGTTGAAAAGTGGTGATTGATGGTGTCGGCAGTGGTCGACTATAGTCGATGGTAGCAGAAGTAATGTTGGATTTCACCTCATTCTCAAAGCAGTAAGCTCTCTCCTCTCCTCAAAAGAGTGTGGAGCTCTATTTATAGAGTTTCATTTGCAATTAATGCAAGAATATGAACCACTTTTATTGGATAATCTAGAGAGCTTCCATCGATCAGATTACTTTTGATCTGAGCTTGAATTCACTTGGATTAGACCACCTTTGGTGTCATTGGTTCCGTCTCGTTGAGTCAGTCATTTTGACTATAAGTTTGCTGAAATATGAGCTCTCAATAACTTTTTATCAATATTAGAACATTTATTGCTCAAAAGACTGCCTCAAGATCCGTGTCGTGCCTCGAGATTTGTGTTAATTGATAGAAAATTGTTGATGATGTATCACAACTCATCTTATCAAGACACTTCATTTGAATAGTAGTACGAGTAATTAAATATTTGAAATTCTCAAGTCCAATATGCATCGAATCCCGTGGATGATTAATATAATTTTTTGAGGATGTATTCATATTTATATATCTAATACTTAAATTTTCATTTTTACATATATTTCATCTTATTTAATGCATGAATATATAATATTAAAAGTTAAAAATAATAGTATTTTTAGCATGATATGAATGATATAAATATAAAAAATATAATTTACTGGAAGTGTAAATACTGTTAAATTAAATGTTAATGTAAACGTCTCAAAAATAATGTTCCCTCCTAAGATTTTCCAGGACCCACCGGTTCCTATATATATATATTCCACAGTGCTAAAATTCATTTCGCTTTCGGTTCGGATTCCTCTCTCTCTCTCTCTCTCTCTCTCTCTCTCTAGCCGACCTAGGAAATTGATTTTCGCAATGAAGAGTTCTAAATCGCAAAAAACTCAAAATGAGGCCGGTAAGAATCTTCGATTCTTGCTCTAACCAAAAATCTGGTATCTTTGTCGGGAGCACTAAACATTTATCTTTATCGTTCATCTTTTTTTTCCATTTTTGTCGGAGGAGATTCACGTTAGGTTTTTCATTCATTCGTATGTTTTTCTTGACGCTAATCTATTTTCTATTAGTTCATTATTGCTGGAAATTTCTGTATGATGTTACATTCCAAAATCTTTTGTCGGGCTTTGATGGGAGCGACTTTGAGTCAGAGAGAATTTGGGGTTGTTGGTCCTTTCTGTTTATATTGTTTGCTCTCACAAGATAGTATGAGGAGGTAAATATTAGATTCTATCACTGTGGATGGGTTAATTGAATGAACTATCCATGTAGATGTAAGAATACTTATGCTGTGTTTGGGAGTTATTCGAGTTCATATGCATTTAGTTTTGAGGGGAAGATAGTTCTATTGTAGTGAAACGGGCTTATTAAGAAGTATACTTGGAGTTTTAATTTCAATAATTTTGGGTCCAAATGGTTGCTTTTGTAAATCATCATCAGTAGCCTGGTACTAATTACTTGTGTTTGGCATCGGCTTCTTATGTAAACATGATTTTTAAGATGGTAAATTTTTCTAAGGGACCGTTTAGGTTCAGTTATTATTATTATTACTATTTTTTGTTGCTTATGTTTTTATTTTAAACAAAATATATTTTGGCATGTTCAAAACTTCAAGTAAGATATGACTCTTTCTAAAACACTCAAAAAACCTAAAATTTATTATGAGTGTATTGAAAAATATGTTGGTTTATTTTAGAAGAAAGTAAAAGCATTTAAAAAAAATATTAAATAAAATCATTTAGAAAAATAGAAATATAAATATAAAATATAATTGATCTCAAACAAGTTATAATTTTTTTTTTTGGTTGGATGTTGTTAGAAGCCTCCATTAATTTTGAACTCCACAACCCTCCACATAAACCTATAAAATGTAAGGACTTCATTTCACACAAAAATGTATGAAAAAAACTTGTAATTTCTAAAACATGTAGTTTTATCTACATATAACTAAGTTAACCCTTACTTTTGTGTCTCTAAAAATTGATGGCTATCTTAAGGTTATTGAGTTAATTTGTTGGCCTTTTTGCTTGAAATCCAGAAAAAGTAGTATTTTACAAGTTGGAGATTGTATTGTAGCTCTAGCAAGAGTTCAAAAACGGTTTTTCGAACAGAATTTCTTAGGGACTTCAAATGGAGGAGTCTTCTATAGCTGCCTTCAATAATTTTTTAATGTATGAAGAGTATGTATTTTTTCTTGAATTATGGTTATAAAATTGGTTATTCCAAGCATTCACATATTTGAGGAAATCATTTTTAATTTCTACATAGTGGCCTTTGGTCGATGCAAAAGGAATGATTCATAATTGCTAGATAGTTTATTTATTTGGTTATGAAATTGGCTATTCCAAGCATGCATTTTTCCAAATACTGTGCCTACTGCGACACATTTGAGGAAATCTTTCTAATTTATACATAGTGGCCTTCGGTTAATTCAAAAGGAATGATTCATAATTGCTAGATAGTTCATTTATTTGGTTATGAAATTAGTTATTCCAAGCATTTCTGCAAAGAACTAGCCTACTACAAAACAATCGAGGAAATTATTTTAATTCTACATAGTGACCTTCGGTTGATGCAAAAGGAATGGTTCATAATCGCTAGATAGTTCATTTATTTTGTTGACATTCCTGAATGATATATGGGCTGTCCAAATTTTTTGTTAACTTCTGAAATGTCAAAAAGCTTTTTTGTATTTTACTTCTTGATTCATAAACTTGAATCTTTGGTAGGTGAGACTTGGGATCTTCACCTTTATAGGCATCCCACCATTCAGATTCCTCACCTCCTTTTTTAGATGACTTTCTAGGGTGTTAGGAAAAAACCTTTCTATTTTCTCTTGGCCTCATGATTGATCACTTACTATTTCCATTGCATCCTAATTTCTCGCAAACCATTAATTGAGCATGGCGCCTTCTTTGCATCTATCTCAAATCCTCCTCTAACTTTGGCACTTTTAAATTTTCACTTGGTTCTTTTTTATTCACTTACCTTGAACTCTCACTTTGTTCTATAACCATCTTCCCCTTAATCAATAGTTTTCAGATGAGTTCTCCCTCCAATTTTTGGGTTGGAAGTTCAATTTCTTAACCATGTTTGAATATCTTTTTTTCATTAATACTATCTATATACTCGATCTTCTTTTGAGAAAATACTTTCATCTTCCCTGAAGGAACGAGTAAGAGAATCAAGGCTGACTTTGGTAAATTCTTCTCGATCAACTCTTTAGAGTGAGGCTTCTCGGTGATTGCATGGAAGAAATGACCATGCTAGGTTTAGTTGGAGGGTTAAAAATCCTCCCTCGTCCCGTTATCAACTTTATTCTCACTTAGGGTCCCTTTGTAAATTTATGAAACAACAAGGGTTGTTGGCCTTTTGATTTGAGGATCATATCATGAAAGGGATACTAAGAAGAATATCATATTTAAAGAAGTTTATAAGACATAGCTTCCTCATGATTTGGGCATTAGATTGTGAAAATATTAAAGATATTTTGTTTATTGAAATTTTAAATATCTAATTACCCCATGAAAATTTATTATAATGCAAATGACTGGCGAGGATGCAAATAATTATCATGACGGGTGGGTTGAGTTGTGTTTCACTTACTTTCATGCTAAATGCAAACATGATAAGTGATGATGAAGGCGAGGATATAATAATACTTGTGTGGAAGGATGTGACCATTTTAAAGTGGAAGTCAGAGCGAAAATAATTTCATATGATGGGACAATTTTTGTTCAAGGTTCCTTTTGTCTAGCTAAATTTAAGCCATCAAGCTCTAGTGTGGTGGATCGTTATTTTAAAATGAACGACTCAATAGGTGTCCAAAGGGTTCAAGCAACTGATACATTAAGAATTTTACCCAATGTGGTATTTTGAAGATTAATAGAAGTGGTACGATTGATGCAATGTGACAAACAATTTGTGAAGAGTACACTTGTGTGTCAACGTCAAACGGGCACTTTGGAAATAATTATTGAGGAATATAAACATTGTTGAGACACACCTTAAGTATTTACTTTTAAATTACAAATGAACTCGGTTCCAAATTAGTGATCTTAATTAGACTAGTCTGCTTATGATAACTACGAACATAATAATTATGGTAGCAAGGAGAAGACCAAAATACCATTTGAACAATGATATTCTCTCTCTTAAAGAGAGAAGAAAAAGAAGAATGATAATGTTCTTTTATCTTATAAAGTATATCTCTCTAGTAAGTTATGTGGGCACTATCAAATTCTATACAAAAGAAAAAATGTTGAAAGCTACACTATAAACTATTTCTTAAAGGATAAAAAAAAAGACAGGAAAGCCAAACAATTGCTTATACGATTGACAACGTTGTGATGAGTCCACTTGATAAGATAGTCTAGTCTTTATCTTCTAATGACAATGCCAAAGGATATTGCACAAGATTCTTCTATAACATGGATATATTTGAAGAGTTGTTCATCTTGAGGATACATGCTAAGCAAGCGCAATCATCACCATCATCAATGTCGACAGCTAGAAGTTTATTATTTCTACAGTTTAATGCAGAAATTAAGCTTCAAAACTACACCCTATACTAATCCCTATCTTTTGTGGTGGATGTAGGACTTGTTTGGGGTAGTAGTAGAGGTGCGATGCTGTTGATACCACACCATTTATGTATTTGACAAAATTGTGTTTTGCCTATTTTCTTAAGAATCTGTGGTGGGAAAGCTGGTTTTACAACATGAACTGACTAAGGCTCTGTTTGGCGCAGCTGCAGCTTCTCAGCTTTTCAGCTACAACTGTGCTGCCCTAGGAAATTGCTGCGGGGAAGCTGACTATCTGTTTGATGCAGCTGTGTAAAAACAGCTGTGGGACAACTGTTTCTGGAAGAATGACCATGCTACCTATGTTTGGTAAAACTGTTTAAAACAGAACTGTGACAGTTATATTTTTGATACTTCTGAAGCAGAATTTCACTCTGAAACAGTTCAAAAATTCAGATGTCCAACTAACTTAACAGTGAGTACCGAAAGTAATAAAAGAAAAAAGGAAAAAACCACAATTCATGAAAAACAAGCAAGTACTTCAAATCAAAAAGTAAAAAAACTGGCTTTTAGTTCTCAGAAGAATGCTCGCAGTTGGTATATAAGTAACCCAATCATAGCAAGCATGAAAACAAAATACATACTTTACAATGTTAACATAAACGAAAATAACTTATAATCGAAGACAAAACTTCATGAAATGCAGTGAAATAATCCTCCATCACTAGAGCAATGTTCCTACATGAACCAATTGTCCATCCAAAAGGATAAATTTCCTTGTTCAAAATTCCAAAAAATAAAAGATTTAGCTTTGCCTTTAACTTTCAGCAACCCCTTCCACACTAGAGTCCCCAACTTTTATAGAAACGAGTATAGGATGCACTCCTTTAAAATAGTTATTATGCATGGAAATTTTTCACAGTGAAGATCTAGCTTAGAATTTGCTCCAAAGTTTCAGGCAAATTATTTTAGCAGGATGATGAAGCTCTTTAAAATTCAACCCTGCAACAAAGATAAGTTCACACAACTTCTTTCAACTAACCTAATTAAAGACCATTACCCACCGTAATGTGTTGTGATCCCCAATATGGTTGATTGTTGTGTAATTGTGTATGATCAGAGGTGAGATGAGAGGTAGCTCTCGTGTCAAGGAGCCACTTTTGAGTAGAATTGTTATCATATGCTATCATAGCCTGTGGATCTGCGAGCTGGTATGACAAATTTTGTACCAACATTTTTCTATAAATAATTGAATTTCAAAAGAAACTTATAGCTTTAAATAATCCCAAATGACATGATAAATTCAAAGGTCAACATAGCTATTTCCTCACCTGAATGGACGTATGTGCATCTGCATATTTCTATTTTCTGAAAATAA